TTCTTTCAATATGACTAAATAATCCCAATTATAGCAATCTGATACTCATGTCTCAATGTTTTTTCGCTGAATGTGATGAAAACATTTAAAAAAGGTTCGCTTATTGAAATAAATCTACACCAGTTAGTACTTCGATTTCCAGGTAAAGGGAAAGGGCTCATTATCTGCCATATTGGCAGTGAGGATGGATTTGTTGTTGACGGTCTGTGGTGCTTTGAGTCTAAGAAAACTGGAGATTACCACGAGGAAATGAATGGCGAATCGTATGAACAGTGGTTTTCAAAAATTTTACCGAACTTGAGGAAAACGCAGTAATTGTGTTGGATAATGCGCCTTATCATTCTCTAAGAATGGAGAATCTCCCAACAACGGCTTCAAGGAAAGTTGATGTACAAAATTGGCTCCGCTCGAAAAATATCAACTTAGAAGAAGCAATGCTGAAAGTACAATTATTAAGAATTGTCAAGGATCACAAGGCGGAATATCAAAAATACGCCATTGACGAAATGGCAGCAAGTCAAAATAAAACTGTGCTCCGTTTACCTCCATACCATTGCGAGCTCAATCCCATTGAGCTCACATGGGCAGAGGTTAAAAATTATATAGCTAAGCACAATACAACTTTTAAATTTTGTGACCTCAAAGGACCTTTCAAAGAAGCACTAGAATTAATAACAGCGCAAAAATGGGAAAACTGTATTAAGCACGTGAAAGACAAAGTTGAAAAGAGAATGTGGGAACTGGACAATATTTTAGAGGAACAAGTCGAGCCATTCATTATTGACATTGGTGCTTCAGGCAGTAGCGATGATGAAAGCTCATCAAGCTCATCTTTCCAATAAAAGATGTCGTTCATCAAATTCGGGAAGTTATAAGTAATTATAAAGCTACTGTATTTTTTAATTAATTATTGACATTTTTGAACCCATTTTGGCAAAACCTATTCAAGAATCTACTTTCTGACAATGTTCAACCATGCAAATTTTTTTACGTTTTGAACGTTTTAATTTGGTTACATATTTACCTAGAAATCAAAAAATATACTAATCAATATTCTAAAAGCAATTTTAAGAGATATACGATTATTTTTAATTTAGGCTAATTTAAACGCCATTTTGAGATTATATTCGACTGTATTTCACCAAACATCAGGCGGCATCCGAAGCTGGAAATCGAAGCGAAAATTTTGAAACCCTTATGTATATTTACATCATTATATATTTCTTACCCCACCCCCACATGATCCTATATCCATCACCAATCGTATACACATCGAATTGTGCTAATTTACTACAAAGTTACGCAAAGCAGCATCTACTATCTAAAATATGTACTGCGTGACTCTTAATACGTCCCTGCCGAATGTTACAGCGTTCGATGATCACGTGGTCTTGTTTATGTCCGGTCTATCTCTTATCTGAATATACTGTAGGTACTGGGGAGAGAGTGGGACGGTACTACAGATACAGGCAGCGAAGAAATGTCTATGGACTAATTGTATGGAACTATTTGACAAACTTGATCCGGTTAATCTCTGTTATACCAGTTTGTAACTAACTTTTATCTCAGACGGTCTAACTTGAACATGCTGCTTCCCTGTTTCGTGCTTATTTGGCATGGTCTAGGCTTGGTCTCTGGGATAACGAACAAAAACCTAGCAACAATCCTCTATGCGGGATATAAGACGCATTTCTATAGTGTCTAAATTGTGCTGAACATAACCTTTTACCGACTGATGACGGTCTGGCGTGAGAAGTACAGTCAACAAACTTGATGCCATTTTTTTAAATAGCTAATGAAAGTAATAAGCTGCCGCATGCCGCGAAAAGCTTCCACTGGATCGAAAAGGCGAATTCTCCGAAACCAAGCATATTATTTTCGATGCGTATTGTGAGAAGCATGCCGGGAAAACAGGCTCGGCTAGTATTGGCGAGCCCTTTGAAAGCATAGCAAAAACTCGATCATCCGAAATAACAAAGTTTAACACTGAAATGGAGACAGGAGCGCCGGTTGTTGGTGTTGATATGAGCATCGACCCAATTCTCGGAATCAAAACGAAATCAGTATGTTGGTGAAAATGTATGGAATTGGCGAATTCATGGGTTTTGTATATGAATGAGGGAATACTATTTTTAATAATGAGGCTCAAGTTATTTGATATGATCAGACTTAACGTTCCTGAAATTTCATCGAAGTAATTAAAAAAAATATATAAATATACGTATACGCCTGGTTTCCTGTTTGCAAGCTTACATTGTCTCTGGCGAAAAACTGTTTGATCGCAATAAAAGTACACATAATGTGAAAAAGCATTTATTTCTCTGAATTAAAAAAAAAAGATAATAGAAAAAAAGAAGCTTTGTGTATTCGAACTTCCGTCCTGTTGTTCTGCAATGAATAATCTTTCGCATTACGCTACGACGCCTCTTGGTTCACTGGACCTTTATAACACTATACTTGTCACTGACAAGCGGACGTTGGATGCATATCAAATCTATTTCAACAATTAGAATAATCTTAAAAACCATACAAGGTACGATGCTGAATCTTTAAATAATGTATTAGGGACTGCTACTGAACATCAATCAGTTGATATTTGTCTACTGTTTCTTCGTTTTCTCGAAATTATTCTCCACCATTTTGAACTCGCAGTCGTTTTAACCAGACGTATACTATATTAACATTTTCAGAAAAAAGGTCAAGGTCTTCGTAAAGAAACTGGATTACGTGACCTACTTACTCGACAAAGGTCATGCAGTCATCAATAATTCAGCCATTTAGCACATGCTACATACTAACTAGTCTAAGACAGTTTGAAACATAATTGTGTCTTCAGTTTGTGTGCTACCTTATAAATAGTTCAGCACATTTCAGTATGAAATATTTTTTTTAATAAACTTTGAGGCTCATCTGTGACCATGTAAAAATTTTAGCTTTAAATATGTGTACACAAGACTATAAAGAAATCTTGACAAAAATATTTCTTCGTAGGAAAGGTGATCGACACATCCGCTTTGTTTTAAAATGTAAATAATAACGTATAAATTTCTGTTTTTCGAATATCGTAGCGAATCTGTTCAATTAGTTCCAAATACGAAATGTTTGAATTTTTCTAGAAGAAAAAACGTGACCCTTCGTTTTTCGCATAAAAATAACAATTATCATTAAGAAATCTTGTGATTCATGTCGACAAGGTAAACTTGTGTATTTTGCTATAAAATGTCCTTTAAATGAACCCTGTGTATTGATTAATAAACTATTAGTGATGGCCGGAGGACAGGTGTTTCGCGACAACACAACAAGTGCCGAAACCTGCATTTTGTCTCGGTTTTCGGCCATAACGTTTTTAGTATTAGCGGGATCTTTTTACGTGTGGTCTCATTCTGTAAGTCTCATAGATACCTAAAAATGTTACTTGAAGAGGTTTTTTTGTTCCTACCAAACTTTCGATTGAATCTCAAAAAACACCTATCCACATTCTTTGTTATCGGATAAAATGTTTTCCCACAAAAATTGGTTTACCCATTTTATGCCTCTATGTTTTAAATATCCCCTTGAGCAACTTGCATCAATAAGACCAGACTTTGAAATTATTTCGGGAAAATTTGCTGATGTGATTAGACTATTATACAATTTGTATAAGGTCCATCTAATACCAATATTAAATCGAGAAATTCTTAATAAATCATATGGTTCGGATATTCTATTCCTTGTCTCTACATAGCAAATTCTACCAATCAGAAACAAGAATCGTAACCACGACGCTGAAGGTTTAAACGCATTCTCATTTAATTTCCATTGATAAACAGGTTTCTCTTTTGAGGTTTGTAGCCAGTCACTCAAATTATATCATAGTGGTACAAAACTTAACAAATCCTTTGAGGACACAATTAAAATTACGAAATACTTATTCTTTAACAAACAGCCGGTAAACGTTCAATTCACTGCTTATATGCTAAACACGTGAGAACTGATTTTCCTGGCTTACGATCGTCACATAATCCCGGTATATGTGCTTAGTAGGTGGGCTGCCAATGTCTTACTTTAGGCTATGTAACCATATACACATCCGACTGAGACTACCGTTCTTGCAGCTTCTCAGGAACCTGTATAACGTAACTTAAGAAGTGACATTGTTGGATTTCTCTTGACATTATGTAGGTTTTTTCACATTATGTACAAAATGTTACTTCTGAGTTTGCTGAAATTCACTTCATGCTTACTTGTAACAAGCGCGAAACATGGCACACTAGCTGCTACCTAGTGCACAAGTTGAGATTAAACAGATTTTTTTAAAATTATGTAGGTTTTTCACGTAATAAAGTTAAAGTATATGTATTAACAGGCAAGCCACCGTCAACATGGATTTTTATAAACATATCCTTTTTTTCAAAATAATCTCTCTTAGTGCTCACAGCGTTAGTAATAAGGTGCTCAGTAATTTCTGTCATGTCAATTTAGATGTTATGTCAAGTTTAATTCATGGTTCAGGCAGGAAGTAGACTTGTTTCTCACCGGTCAATTTTTATTTGAGGATCAAATAAAATGTACGGTTTTTGTAGATGGCTTGCAAGAAATCGGCTAGGCATTAGAGCCGTTACTACTGAAAAGAGTTCTGAATGTCAAACTTGATCGCGGGAACAAATTTTGATCCCTGTTGTGAAATCGGGCGTTAAGGATTTTATATTGGCCGTCAAAATCAGCGTCTCAAATGATTACAGAATATCGAGTTCCTCTCACATCTAACATAGAAATGAAGATGGAAATTTTGCACTGAGAAGTTTAAAAGTTCTAATATCAGAAGCCGATTGGTGCTGTAGTTTACCAACAAAGAGGTTGCAGTGCAGTTTGTTAGGGATGGATAATTTTTTTGAATTTTCAGAAGGCTAGTCTGTTATACACGTGTATCAATTAGAATTATCGGTTCAATACAAAGATTAGATGAATAGTTAACAGTTCGATAAAGAAAATAAAATCAACGAATGAAATATTTTATTTACCTGATCTCGTTCCATCATTCTGGCAGCCCTGCGAATAAGGATTATATAAGTTAAAGGATGATTTCATAAAGATGAAGTTTCTGACGCGAATCAAATATTGTGCCGTCAAAACCTCCTAGAAGTCTTCGATATCGCAATACTTATCAAGTTCATTGAAAATAACTTCGATATGTTTTTGGTGGACCGTTCATTTCAGCCAATGATAATAAGATGAAATAGCTATCGTTTGTTTATTACATATGTGAGAGTTTCAATTAAATTTCATCCAGAAACGGTTTGAGAGGAAAAAACCCACTGTTCTATTTTAAGGAATTGTGCTCCTGAAGTTGAGGAATTGTTGAACGAGCTTCTTACGTTAGCCGCTGTTTCATACATAATTCGACAGACTATTTGATTTTGACAGTTTCGAAGATTCACCTACTTCTCATGATACTGATTATGAACTGACGATATATCTGGTACGTATTTTGAATTCTACAGAATGTACTTTCCATCTTTTTATGTTGTTTGGATATCTTGCAGTAAAGTATCATTTATGCACAGCTTCTACTTTTAGTGTGTATTGTATACCCTTGAGAATGGACTGTTCGTACAGGACAGTCTCAGTGGATATACCGCCACATTTTACTACTCTGCAAGAGCATAAAACATCTAAAGTGGCTCCTACGAAAGAAGTTTTCCCGCTTCACGCTTGATATGTTTTTGGGCATTCCATGTTATTCAGTAGAGGTCATCGAAAAACATAAGATCAACCTTGTGAAGAATGGTGATGATCAATAACCCCTGTCACAAGTTTTAAGATCTCAGAAACGTCATGTAGTGTGTTGTGTCAGATTGTTCCTCACTCCTCTCTCATGATTGAAGTCACGAAGTAAATGCAGCACCAGGTGCTGGAAATTAGTGTCAACCTATTTTTACATGAATAAACTTTCCAGAATCTATTGGCGCTAACCAGCGTAAACATTGTGACGCTCCTTTCATTGAACCTTAAACTTAAATGCAATACACGGTTTTCAGAATAATCTGTGTAAAAATGGTACTGTCGGTGTCTGTGTATAAGACAGCATCTGACGTATGAGGGTTACTCCCTTTTCTTTGGCCCTTAATGCCTTGACGAGGCCTATTAGATGAATTTGTTGACAGTAAAACAACTGATCTTAATAGACTCAACTAACAAAATATATAGTAAACCTCAAGTTATGTTCTATGCTTTTTGGCTCATGTGCAAGAAGAATTTTAAGATAAACAAAAATTATTAATACATTGTGATGACGGTTGTATAGTATAGGCTTCTTATGTAAAGTCAAACGCTGATATCAAGATTTTAAATGTGGAACACCTTGTGAGATGGTTCACTATTGTAACGATAACGATTGGCGCACTCATTAAAAGCTTTGTTGCAAAACGCGTTGCTTATCTAACCACTTCTTTACAAACCTAGTATCAAAATATTGAGCTAGAAGTTTTCGGTTCAAGCTGATACAATTTATACTCCCAGGCTTACATCCATTGCTATGACTGCTCTACACGATGCAGGCTTTGAACGCTTTTTTTAGACCTGGCTCTCAGTGAATTCAACTTTTTCCAAGGTTGACGAGGAAAACGATTTTAATTAATCAACAGATGAATACCTGTCATATAATTGTAGTCACCGCGGTTGCACGTCATCAACGCCATATGAAATAAGTAAATAGATTGAGTCTCCGAACCATGGCCGGTTCATAATTTTCATAACTGTGGGAAACCGATTCAAAATTATTTACTAATAGTAATTCTTCTAACCTAGTACTTAAATATGGGTAGAGTATGACACGCTACTTGAAGTTTTTTAAAGTTGAAATAAAAAATACATATGGAATTTAAAATATAATACAAAATAACACATATATTTGCTAACATTATGGAACATTTAACTTCGGATGTGGATATGTGACAAGCTTATGAGAGCCTTAGAAGATTCATCTTCAATAATAAAACTGCTGAATTCTTACTGGAGTGAAATGCGACTAAAGAAATTACTGCTAGACAAAAAATATATTTTGATGATGATGCTCTTAAGCTCGAACTTTTAAATCTATGTCACCTTAATACACATAAAGCTTGTAACTTCCATATCTCTCAAAATATTTAAGAATCTACATTAAGGTGCATACACAGAAAATTAGGATCAGAAGCGTTGTATGTGTACTTCTTTTCAATCTCCTGATTGACTGTAGAGGTCGTGATATGTTGTTCTTAACTTCTCATATCGTAAAAGGTATTCCTAATTTTTGTTTTGACGGCATCACTCACATCATCGGTCTTGCATTTTTTGATTTTGTGAGTTTTCCCAGGTGTTACTATGGGCAAACCTTTCTTATTTTCTGATTTTATTCGCTGAACACTGCGCAGACTCTATAGCGCATCTACTATTCTCTCCAGTAAGCATGAAGTGGGTAACAGGGGACCGCTGTTTTCATTGTCTTCCCGGAAATACTCTAATAAATTTAGCACGAGCTATCGGCCTTCTCCATTGATCGTTTTTCCGGGCATCGTACAATTTTATATTGATGATTGATAACAGGACAACTCAAATTGCATGCCGATGTCAATTAAGTTGTCACTCTGAAAAATATGCTTGAAGGGCACTCATACGAAACGAGAAAGTTTTGAGATGGAAACACACAACTAAAAAACGTATGTCTTTGAGATTACCGAACAAACAAACGTTCACGCATAGGCTGTATATGCATGTATGAGGGATATGGAGATATATAAAGGGATAGTGGTAGTCGTACTTTGACCAGCCAAGAAGGGTGACTACAACTATAGTGCGATTTTTTTTTCAGCAGCCGGACAAAAGTTTTACCGGGAGGCTATTGGAATGCTAAATAAGCGCGTTGATGTTAGTAGGGATTATGCAGAAAAACAAAAATCAAGTGTAGCATTATTTGCACATGAGTTAGCGCTAGAGCATAGCGTTTGACCCTCACGTAGGCAGCACCTTCTGTTACTCCACGGATGAGTTAGTGATGTCCATTGCGACCCTCGAGCTCCTATTTATTTTTGTATGCTCAGGTCAGTCTTAATATACATTTTACAACCTACAGAATCCTCTCATAAAACACCTAAAGCACCCCATACGCATCGAAATGTTCCCAGCTCACGTCTGACATATTTTTGGGCATCCCATGTCATTCAATATTTATGTAAGGGTAGCGTAGATCTAAGGGGGGGATACGGAAACGGGGTGAAGGGTTGCGAGGGTGTTCATCAATAACTATTATGTCAATCCTACCAGCAAGCTTACGCCCACGCTCTCGCATGTTTAATGGCCGAATGAGATTATGTCACATCTGCGTATTACGATGCGATTAAACTTGCCTACTGCAATTAAATCACTGACCGAAGTACATACGTAAGCCGGTGGCTTCGCTGAATGGGGCTAATTTCACCTTTCATAATTTTTATGAGGTCATTTTTATTAATCAAGCAGCCATGAAGCCAAAGCATACACTGCTATATAGCGCACTTTCGGGGGTTTGCTGGTATAAAAAGTTTCTTATGGAAAGTCGCTACAGATTCTCAAATGCGTAGCGACAAAAAGGCTGATGAAACTTTCAAGTTATAGCATATGCAGGCTGTTACAGGATTAAAGAGCAAATTCGGTACATTAAATACTAGACAAAATGCATATAGACATAGTTCCGGAGATGCTTCGTTAGTAAAATACGCAAGCTAGTCCGTCTTTGATAGTTCATCTTGCCTTTCTCTAAAACTGAAGGTATTGAGATTAGTTTCGGTACACGCAAATGTGTTGTCGAAATCGTCTTTGGAAACACTTACATCAGTGGCGTTCGTGGTATATAGTCTCTATTTTTTGAAAAAACAGTACGCTACATCTTAAAGGCAATTTGGCTACACCTAACAAATGTGTTTTGGATTCACCCTTGTTGGAACATCAATCTGTTTATCATTATTAAAAAATGGCGTCATAAGTTCATAAATAATAATAATAATAATAATAATAATAATAATAATAATAATAATAATAATAATTTATTGATGTTAATACACAGAAAGTGTTTACACAAGTCAATCTATACTAATAGAACGCTTAGAAAAATGTACATCAAACATGAATAAAACAAGTTAGAAACAATGCAATGCTGCGTAATGCATAATTACCAAAAGCAAATTGAAAAAAAACAGTACAAACATGTCGTCATGAGATAAAAGAAGATCGCTTAGAAAATATATGTATAATACAATTAACCATACACATACAGACAAACAAAACAATAACAACTGTACATAAGTTGGAGAGAGAAATGAATAAATAAACATTTAAGGTATATCAGTAAAGTCATTTGCCAAATATTCGTCCGTGCTAAAGAATGCGTTTTTTATTAAATAATACTTGAGTTTCCTATGAAAAACATCAATATCCAATGTTTTTATATTGCTGGGCAGCATATTAAAAAATGTAATGTCATAAAAGTTTGTTCCAATTCTTGATTTTTCTAGACGGTAGTTATTATGACAAATGTTGTTTCTATTTCGTGTTTCATATTTGTGGGGAAGGTACTAATATCACTTTTGATATATAGGAGACAACTCAAAATATACGCGCATGGAATGGTTAGTATGGCCAATTTAATGAATTCAGCCTTGCAGGAGTCCCTATATTTCAAACCAGAGATGTATCGTATACAACGCCTTTGCATGCCAAACACTTTTTGCATATGTGGAGAGTGTCCCCAGACCAAAATTGCATATGTCATTTTAGAGTGGAAATATGCATGATAAGCAGATACTCTATCCTTTAGACTACGTATGAGATATATAACTCTGGACAAACGATCCACCACACAGCGAGTATGCACCTCCCATGTCAGAGTACAGTCAATATGAATGCCTAGCAATTTCACTGTTTGAGCAGATTCCAACTAATGACTGCGTAAGCTTAGTATTAAGACTGAGTTTTATCAGTGTTGAGCAATAGCATATTGGCAGCAAACCAATCCTCAAGGTCCAACTTACACAATGAACTAGTTTCGACAACGGGGCTTTACATATTTATTAGAATTTACCAAAGTAGTGTCATCAGCTTATAAGGACAAAGCCGCATTGTTGCAGACAATCAAAAGCCTTAGATAAATCGAGAAGGTCCGCCTTGGTATGTAGATGGTTCTCAAATCCTTCGTTAACAAGATCTATAAGACAATTGATTGCTGTAGTAGTAGATCTGTTCCGTCGAAATCCAAACTGCTTGTCATTAAATAATTGACTTGACTCTAGATGAGAGGTTAGTTGATCCTTTAGCAGAATCTCAAAAATCTTAGCAAAGTATGAGATTAGAGAAATTGGTCGATGGTTGGAAAGCACATTACCCGATCCATTTTTAAGTATTGGAATGACTTTGGATATCTTGAGAATTTTAGGAAAATTACTATTTCGAATACAAATATTAAAAAGTTCAGCGAGTGGAACGATAATCAGATTCATTATGGTCTTTATAATTTTTGAATTCAATTTATGTACATCTGTACTCTTAGATTTTTTTAGTGGTGAAATCGCTGATCTGACTTGATTGTAGGATACTGCTTTGAACAAGAAAAGGTCGATCTTATCAATATGAACCAAGTAGTCTAGTGCATCACGATTTGCTGGAGGAATATTGTCAATGAGCGTCTGCGCTATACTTGAGAAGTATGAATTGAATTCGTTAGCATTCAAGATGTTGCTTTTGTTCTGATTATTAGCTGGAACATTGGATCTAATAATATTCCACATTGCTAGCTGCTTGTTGCTCGAATTGTTTATATACAAGTCGTGTGCTTGTTTTTGCTATTAGTGATAGCCTGTCGATATTGTGATTTATACTCGTTAACAGCTTGTTTGGTAACTATTTGTGGGTTAACCTTGTACCAATCCATCAGGAGCCTCAAACGGTCTCTCATAGCACGCAAATGATTGTATCCGACACAATTTAGTCCTCTCTGAGAAAAAGTAAATGAACCGTTTTTCATATTTGCACGTGCTGAATGTTGTCAAAGAGGTATCACCGGCTAGTCGGATTACACGCCTTTGGAGGCTGAACAGTGTAATTGGTGCGGTGCTCCCCTCAAAAGTAAGGAAGAAGGAAAATAGTAAAAACAATTTATAACTTATATCTTACGAATCCGGCACTACCTCAGAAAATTTGAAATTTGCTCATGGCCAAATGCTTCACAGCTTTGCTGATGACACCACTATACCTTCAGGAATTGAGAGTGACAAACCGCGTGGGTATTACAGAAAAATCCTATAAAACGTCAAAGAAAAACTATTAAATATCGTCTTGCGGCTAGGTAGTTTTCAGGGTGCAAACAGTCATTCCACGTTTGCTCACTAGAATCGCTGTCAGCGTCCAACTACACGCATTGTTAGATGCATATGTTTTGTGAAGCCGAGTAGTCTGTAGTTTTCACCTCTGAGAAAAAAGTAGGTTGAATAGCAAGATCACATCTGGATGATTGTGTGTATTGGTCTGCATGTGTATAAAATATTTACTGTGTGTTGAACCGTGTGCCTCCAGAACTGGCCGATACGACCGCTCCTTAGTCCTTAGAATATTGAGATTGTGGAACAATATACTCATGGTAGCCTTTCCCAGTTCTACTGAACTTAGGCAGTTCAAAAATCGCATTAACAAAGTCTCTTAAAGCACCTCATAGCAGCTGCGGTGAATTGGTATTCAGGCTTCTGCCTACGCGGCTGAGTGAGCATATATCTTTACTTCCCAGGCCAAGTTCGATTCCTAACGCTACAATAGAATGAAGCATTTTTCATTAAAGTATGACTGAGTACTTACAAAAGATGATCCGAATAAATTGATTTTATTTTTAGTATCTTTTGGGGGTGCGTTCAGAGGCGTTGGCGACTGTCATGCTAACAATGGTCGCGATCCAGACCTTCGTATATCGATTGGTCTGTTGCTACTAAGCCTGTCCATTGCTGAGAATTTCCCAATCAAGATAGTTCTTTACAACCTATCAATGTTTAGTGTGAAAAGCTCAGAACAAACCTGTTACAGAGTAAAGCCGCCGCTGTTTTTTTTGCGAACGACTTATCAATATCGACAACCTCTGTATTTGAGTCTAAGAGGCCCTTGGAGCGCCTAATCGACCAGCCTATACATAAGTGTAGGTCATTTGATGTGAAATACTCGTTCCTATACCCACATGATCCTCATCTTCGCGTGAGCTGTAATCTGGCGTTTTATCCAGGAATTAATTTAATTATCGGTGCAAATTGGTCGGCTTTGTTTCAGCATCCAATATATCTTTAATGAACTTGCGCTAATAGATTAGCTGCTGCTGGTTTTCATTGCCTACCTTTAATGCTGATTACCTTCCGGCTGATGCCGAATTTGGTCTATGGGATGTAGGGTACTCGTACCGCAAGCGAACCGCTGTCCACAGAGCCGTTGGAAAGCAAGGGTTGGGGGATTGCGCATTACAGTCACTAAATAGACGAGGCGAACAACTCGCATTCGTGGGTAAAATTTTCCAACTGCACTTTTTCTCAGAATCACGTCTGTTGGATGCCCCTAAATAGTCTAAACATATTAGCAAATCTCCCGGAAATAATTGTAGAGTCTGCTTTTATTGGAGCAAGTTGTTCAAGGGGTAATTAAAACATGGTCGCATAAAATGGGCACACCAATTTTTGTGGGATAGCTTTTGAAGAATGAGAAAACGTGTTTTTGGATGCAATCGAAAGTCTTGACAGGAACGAAAAAACTTTTCATATAAGATTTCTAGGTATTTATGAGACATACACGTGAAAATGAAAACTTTGAGACTTATCTATGTTTGATAATTATGATGTCTATGGTTTTTGAGAAAAAAATTGCAATGCTACGAAACCTCAGATAAAAGCAAAAATCGCTATTTGTGGACTTTTATGATATGGCATTCTGCAAACTAGAGTCAACTGAAAGACTTAGACCACGAATTTGTATTTCATGCATCAAAAACTAAAAAGTATACTCTGAGTAATTTTCAAATTCTTTATTGGGAATGAGCATTTCTAGGGTAGAAGAGAGAATGAAGAAATATATAACAGAAAACTTTCTACTACGAATGACACATTAGTTCAACTGAATATAAAAGTACGTACGTGGGTTTTACTTGCATGCCTCTTCATAGTGGAGTTAAAGCATCAAATACATGTGTTTATTCACCAAGCACAACCAGGGATTCATTCGAGTCTTTACTTAAGTAAAGTAAAGAGTTTTCTACAGAGTTATTGCTTTTTTCCTTCTACACTTATGTAAAAGCATTTCGCTTGTCGCGAAAAGCCAAAAAAATGTACAAGACCTTTGAAGTCCAATCAATTTTTACTAATTCAATACTTATGTCGCCCACAGCCATTGTCAGTAATGTTTTGGCATACAAACGATTTATGAAAGCGGCCAAGCTGTTGAAAAAAGAACTCCGCAAGCAAGGTCTGACAATCCCTTCGTAAGGACGAGTATTTACTATAGGGATTAGTACTCATAAGACACATGGCTTATTCCTTGTTTGGAATAACTCCTTGTTTTGGGAAAGAATGCTATTTTTCTTTCTTGACCAATCATGAGGGCATGCGAAATATATTCTTAGAAAGCTATATAAAATACAGTAAGTACAGTTAACAGCTAAAATACTTACTAGGAAGTTGGAAATGGTATCGGGCATTTATCCAAGAGAATTTAGGGAAGTTTCTAGCCCTAATCAGTTTGAGTATTTCAACAGCCAAGTCCCGTTGACACTCAAATTAATTGCAATATTCTATTGTTGATACTATCTAAGCTGCGTAGATATATTTTATGTTCTATAGATAGTTTACCAACAAAAGGTTTAAATACTTGTCACCACCCATGCCACATCTTTGAAAAATCTGTAGCACCGTTAGTTTGGTAGTGTTTCTAATACACTACCGGCAAGCTCCAACTCAATAAAGTATTAGAACAGGTGAATCCAATGGACAAGGTATATATATAAATTAGTATACAAAATTCATTTGAAGAAACTATTTCAAATTATTATCAGTGTATGAACTAATCTGAAAATTAGATTTTTCCCTATCCACTATCCTTTCTGCCCCAACCTTCTTCGAGCAGTCTATTGATTTTCGTGGCATGTCGATAATTCGTGACTTCGAAAACGGATTAATCTAACCTGTCTTACCAGCCAAAGTTGGCAGTTGAAAGTTAATCCTGGATGGGGAATAATTAACTCCGATTTATAAAGCGGCTAAGCGTACTTTGGACAGTCTTAAGCTCAGTTAATCCGGGGTCTGCATGAAAAAATGTTAGTGTTGGAAGACTATCAAATCGTATATACCCACAGAGTGTTTTAGGTTTTTTATTTACACCACCGGCGCCGGTATGGTAATACTATAAGGTACGGTACTATAACTCCAATCACTTGCCATGTATGGTAACCATAATCAACTGATTTATTTGTCCAATGTCTTTGGAGTATGTTTCTTAATGAAAGATAGAAATGATGTATTCGAATTGATGTATTAATACTTGCCTATGAAAATCACACAAATCAGAGCCTTATTGCTTATCACCTATGAGTCAGTTTTTGGAGGAATATTTTGAATAGCTTCCGGAAAATTGTTTCTTTGACTAATCCATAGTGCTTTAGTTTCAAGATGCGCTTTTTTGGAAATTTTCTGGGCCACAGATATAATGCAAGTGTCAACAAAAGCTGGAGTGTTTTCAAAAAATTTCAGCGGCACCGCAGATAGCTGACTTACTGTTGATAGTGAGCCATGCAGCAGTATGACGGAAAGCTTTGTGGCTCCTAAGATCAGGATACTTAACCTATATGAATTATGGTTCTAGCAGAACGGAGCACACGGTACAAAACAAGAGAAACGATAAATGTTTTGCGGATGACGCTTTTAGGGCGCTTTCACTCTGCATCAAGACTTCGAACCTCACCAGATTTAAGGGCCTTGGACGGCTCTCCGTGAGAGTTTCTAAAAATAAGGCTTATGTCAATAAACCAAGCACCATAGAGCAAGTGAAGAACAATGTTCGGCAATGAATTCAAAATATTCCTCCTGAATTGTACAATTTTTCAAAGTAACTTTCAAAACAATGAGATAAGCAATTCATCATTTCATCTCAAATATATCGGAGAAATGCATTAGTCACCTGTAGGTATATTTCATGTCATGCCTTATGATAAAATAATGGTACATTTTGATTTCAAATGGCGACTATACCCCATACGCCCAGACAAAATACAACATGCCCAAAAGCAAGATTGTACAGGTCTCAATATGAACAGCAATTGCCGGCGTCGGCGTGCTGGCGATACCCCGAGTCTAAGTTCTTTGCTGTCGAATCCTGCACTTGTAGTTTTATAGTCGCTGCTTTGCCGCGCTGCATCTTTGTTGTACCGGGGCGTAAATGGATTCCGAATAGGGTATATACTAAGTGGCATAGAAAAAAGAACAACCAGTAATAATGAATTTAGTACAAAAATTTTCTGTATATGTTTGTTTAGGTTGAGACAAAAAACGATCTGGTTTTCAACCATATCGATAAAGTGGTTATTGTGATATCGCCTATTCTTTCAACAAAAACAAGTAAGCGATAGATGTGTTTTATAGCTACAATTGGCATTTGACCATCTTACAATACGTTGTGGGGAGCTGTTCATTATGCCTAGAGTGAGAAGGCGATACAACTTTCATCAATTTAGCAAGCTTGATAAGAAGGGAATACTGGTTTTACGTGAAGATGGTTGGTCATTAAGAGAAATAACTACCAGCGCGCACAAAAGTCTAAATGCAGTGATGGTTTATTGTTGTTGGGCATGGAACTAGAAAATCGGTAATTAATTCATTATTTAATCTATACTCTTTTTTCTATATCAGTATGCGGGGTGTTATGGAAATAATATTCGTATCTTCAGGAGGTGATTCCTTGCATTATTGTAAGCAAAAAAGTTTATTATAACTCATGTCCGAAAATCAATCGTTTTCGACGAAAGTGAGTCGTAAATAATTATATTTTCTCAAACATTTGGCAACGCTGCAACGCACCCGCGATACGAGCGCACGACAACCGCAACTCATTCATCGAATTGTTTACGTTTGTATGATATTTTTGTTGAAAATATGCCTTGAATTATTGAATATATTTACGCAATTCTTTGTGACTAATATTTGTTATTTAATAACGCTTTCAGTACAGTACATTTACTTATAAAAAATGACAGAACTTACCGGTACGTGGTGATACACACCACCAATTCCCACGATTATCAGTTACTTATTTGAAACGATTCGATGCACGAAAAAAGAAAAAACCAACATCCTTAAATCACATACGTTCCAGTTAAACGTAATTAATCACAATAGATGTTCAAAATGGGAACCATCTACGCAAGCTTGACACGAATGTTCTTCGAGCTGGTAGCCTTAGATCAGGAATACGTGCTTCGTAAATGCGTCTAGCCTCTTCAAAATTGCAATAAGCCTCTCCGTAAATAATAAACATATCGTGATACTCGCGTACCGAAAACATCTCTTTACGTATCAAAATGCACGCACTGATACAGTAAGAGTAATTAATACGTACTGAATAATAAAATGTGAGAGGAACTATCAAATAATTTTTTCCCGATGTAGGTATTTATTTTTTTGCCTACCAGCACGATGTCGATGTGGGCAACATGCGATGCAGTGCAGGCGGAGTACTACGTTGCCAGTTGTGTGAGGGACCTTGTTTGTCTGTTTTTCTTCGGAAAATTGTATTTAACAAGCAATAAAATTATGTTGTTAGAGTCAGTCAATTAATAAATAGATGTATTGATACATTTTACGCTATTAGGCATTTGAATTTAAATGATTAAGGTGGAAAATTAATTTATTTCATGACTAAAAAGAAATCAGTTCAGCGTTTTCTTGCTGCTAAACGGTTGATTTTCGGACATAGGTTGTAATGAACTTTTTTGATAGAATAATGAAGGGATTCACCTCTTAAAGATACGAATATTATTTCCCTAACACCCTGTATATTAGATCTCAAAATCAATGTTGGATATGTATCTATAGCTTTTCTAGTAATTTGATACGAGAATTTGGCGCAAATGGTAATTCACGTCTTTGGGTGTCATCCTCTAGTTTTCATAGTACCTACAAACCCGGTATACGGCATCGATCTAGGCTGAATATCCCGATATAGCTATACTGTTAATAACTCGATACGTCCCGTTGTTCTTGTACACAGATTAGCGCATAGATAACCGCCAAGCATTGTCCGGGATACTCTCCTTGTCTGTTCATGGACATGGACAGATTATTAACTGAACAAAAGTTTTAATATCCTGCTTAGCAGGTATTAAACTGATTTTCAATACATCTATGTTGCCAGTCATGTATATGCGCTACAGAAATGACAGTATGCGCGTTTGTTATTAAATTTGAGCGATAAATATATGCAAATATGTTATGTCATCGGTAGGAGTGACAATTGCATTATTTTGGAGATTGGTCTATTCAACAATGCTCAGCTGAGCCAATGACAGCGAGGTAACTGCATGAACCTGATAGCTCTATTTTACATCTGACCAAATACTGTATCTCTCTCTCACACATTATCTTTTCAATGGACCAATAGTGTTTCTTATACAATATCCCAAAATAAGTAAGCATTCTTTCGTACGCTAAAAAAACACAAAAATGGCATCAAGTAGGTTGACTCTTCACTTCACACGCAACGCTGTCGTCAGATCATAAATCATTATGTTTTGCGCAAATGCGCATGTTCAGTTATTTTCGAGTTCTAGAACCACTTTGAAATAGTTTTGAGGACTTAACATTGATGGTGATGCGCTACCATAAGCAATAACACCCCATACCACTCCCACAGTGTGGTGAACGGAATGCTCTCTGTCAAACTGTGGGTTACTAAAACTACGCAGTTTTCGTTGGTTCAACATGATAATACATGAGTGCATCGGTTGCACAGAAAAAACAGCCGAGGTTGCAGGTATTTGTTAGCAAATACATATACTTAGGTATGTAACAAACTGAAGTTATTGTCGACAAAACGAGTTTTACATTTTTACAGCACTTTACTAGCAAATGGCGTGCTAATACGCATGCGCAATAATCAAGAAATTTTGCTTTCACCTCAAAATCTGAGGACCGTCGGGACCAATGACGTCTTACCCATATATCGACCCTGCAAGTCATTCAAAGTCCGCCGTTTGTTATGTTCGCGAACCTCAGTGGCGGGAAATACGAACTTTCATTCAAAATTTTATTGGAACAGCACGACGCTCATATTCAACTACGGAATTCCCACCATAGGCGTATCACAATGTAGGCCATGAAGGGCTATAAAATGGTAGGTACAAGACCCCAATATAGAAGTAATAAAACACAGTAAATAACTACTTAAAGAAATGTTTATTTGATGGTTTACAAAATATTTTATATCAAGATCAATCAATGCAAAATCAAATTTCCTTGACATCCTTAATAGGAAATGTGTCAAGAAAAAATATACCTGACAATTGTAAATACGGGATATCACACCAGAACAAGTTTTGTTAACAATAAGCAGTTGGCAATGAACATTGCACGGATTTAAAAATGTACTGTGGCGCCGGACCTTTTCATTCAACATATCAATTCAATAATAAATTAATTTCATATGTGTAAT